CTTCAAAAGATATGAGTGTCTGCGACTAACCTTTCTTCATATATGAATTGAGATATTTGCCTCAATTGAAACGATTTCGATTTTGAAGATAAACTTATTTTAGATTACACTCATTCAAACGAATCAACAAAAGAAATGAAATGTTGTTTGTTTCAGAATCAAAACGAGATTTTCCCACAATGGATGAGAGAGTATTTTTAAGAAAATAAAATCATGGAACTGAATGGGCATACATATACAAATGGCTAATATGCGAAATTGAATAACTCAAAAAAGAAAAAGACACAACAAAATGATGATGATGATGATGGCGATGCCACAACTTAAAAAAACCTCTTTCATTTGCTTGGTTTCCTCAACCGTTCGCAAATCTTTCTTGCTTGATGCGGCCAAATCATTGTCTATTCTGGTCAATTCAATGGAAATTTCGTGTGAAAATGAGCTGATCTTCTTTAATCTCGTTTCGAAGGCTATTATGTTTCCGCTGTTTCTTGTACATTAAAACAACTTGACTACATTCATTTTGATTGCAATAAAAAATTATATGTGGCGCAATAAAGTGTGATAAATTTAGCAAACACTTTTATGAATGGACAACAGCAATCTCATTTTTAAACATGTATAATTATATCATGTTATTTAAAAAAGAAACTAGAAACTTACGTTTTAATATTTTGGGTTTTAAATTGTTCCCTAGAGGTTCACTTTTACCTTGTTTTTCGCACGACTCACATACAAATGTCAACTGGTTCGATGACGATGTGCACACCAAACTGAACACCGTATCGATTTAACTTTCTTCACTTAGTGAAAAATAACAGCACAAAATAACTATACCAAGTTTCATGTCGTGTCATGAACGCATTTCGCGGTTCTCTTCCTCGATTTTCAACTCTGTTATTAATATTTCAACCGTTTCGTATATCACAGTCCTTCTGCTGTCTCAATGCGAAATGTTCAAGTATTTGGAGTGTCATGCACGTTCCACGACATACAACTTGTTTCTTTGCTCTGATGTTATAATGTACAGTTGAATCAATAATTGCATGTTAGGTTCCAAATATTTGTCTATTTTTGAAAGCAAATTTTTATACCCTCTTTTTATCACTACATATTTGAAAATAGTTCTCTTTGTTCAATTTTATTTAATTTTAGTTGGTTTTAGTATTTTAAGCATGGTTTAATGTGCTTTTTGTTAAAACTATAATAAACAACAATAATTAATAGAGTTATTTATTAATCTCAGTTGATACCTTAATCAAAAGGATGTAAGGATGGTCAAAAGGATGTAAAATGTTGGCGAAAAAAAAACCTTACAAATCTTTCAATCCTTATTAAAATCATACAAATACGAGATCATCATTAAAATAGTTCAGTAGCTACGTGACGTTTCGGTTTGGCCAATGGTCATACCTCCCTTATGGAATGAAAAACCCCGTTTTGCTAGGAAATGAAATTCCTTGGATTTACTAGAGTGTTTAATGGGGACACATTTTTTTGATTTGATTAATGTCGCCTATCTTCAATTTTCAAATTACAATTTGAGATACACATACAACACCTTATGCTTTAGCTAATGCATTGAAATTCCTGTGGCGGTAGTTACAGGTGTCGCATAGTCAACCTTTCCTTCAGTTTTACCATTTTTTGCTAAATGAGTGCAAAAGTAATGAATACACAAACCAAATTTAACTTTATTTCAAACGTACAATAGATGGCACTTCTAGAAAATCTCTTTTCTCTACATATTCAAGCTGGCGGTTGCTTTTAATAGATTTCAACTGGCTTTTTGCGCTTCGGTCATGTCTTTTTGCGTGCGGGTTTCCTCTGCAATTTGATGTTGAAGCTGTCTGCACTTACGAATCAAATTAGCAAATCTATCTATTTAATTTGCAAAAGCATTCAATTCTGATAATCGGTGACATTTTTCAGTGGTATGGTACTTTAGAATTTGGATATATGTTACACAGTGGGCCGTTTTTTTAAAAACCAAATTCAGAGAATTTATTATAATGTGTATATTCTTTGTAGCTACTCAAACCCGTTTTTTAGTTATTATATGACCTTTCGGACCGCAACAAATAATAATAAAAATAGATAATAAATTTAACCGATTTGTGGTGGTTTGCTTCGATTATTTTTGGGCATTTCACTTTTGAGCATCGTCGAAACTGTTTACTATGCCACACTCCGTTTGTTTTGGATCATATATCGACCAAGACCACCGAAAATACACCCGGTGGAGGATGACGAAATATTTGGACAAAAACTTTACTATAAATATCGTCTGGTATGATTATTATCCTTTCAAATAAGCATCTATTTGAATTTGACCATCTAAAAATTATCTCTACTAAATGTTTCCTTAGACGAGAGCGATGTACATTTGTTGACAAGTGATGCGGATCCTAGTGCGGGTCTTTTCCAAGGAGTCAGACATAATAATGAGATATTTTCAGCCAGATGAATCAGCTCAGCCAGATATCGTCAGGAGCTGAAATTTAGTGAAAACAATAGGAGTGATTGTTATGGTTATAATTACACTTACATTGCTACAATCACTAAAACAATCACTTTTATTCAGTGAATAGATTGGGCTACAGCTATAGCAGTGCTATTTTCACAGCTCCTATTCATAGGTGCTATTTGTGAACAACGCATACGGAGAGCGATTTTATGATACAATTCCGAACAATAGACCTATTGATTTGTTTATGCAAAAAATACTAAAATCAATAAGTCTATTGTTCTATTTACATTTTGAACATTTCGTTCGGAATTGTATCATAAAGTCGTAAATAGCGCCTATGAATAGGAGCTGTGAAAATAGCACTGATATAGCTGTAGCTCAATCTGACGATATCTGGTTGACGATATCTGGTTGAGCTGATTCATCTGGCTGAAAATATCTCATTATAATGTCTGGAGTTCTGTGCAAAAAATAACATTCATGGCCTTCGATATTTAACAGAAAAAAAGCTGCATATCTGTGAAAGATAAATCAATGTCTATAAAATATTCAGGTCAACAATTTGATCACATTTCTTATTTCAATTCTTATTCAATTAGATTACTTTGGATGATCTACGTTGGTTTCGCTCTTTCGTATATCATTTTCACATTTTAACCGGATTGAAGTTTCTCCTGAGTTGACAACAACCATCGATAAATTGCGTCACTTCAAACCGCATCAACGAAAATGCTTTGATGGCGATGAGCGTCAATTGCGTTTCTTCAAAACGTATACGGAAATAAACTGCCAACAAGAGTGTTTGGCCAATTTCACAAAACAAGAGTGCGGATGCATGAATTTCTGGCAGCCAAGTATAATTCTTGCACTCTTCACTGCAATATATTCACTACATCCAGTTGAATTTCAATTTAATTATTTTATAGGAGACAATAGTACACTATTCTGTGGTGTGGCAAAGATCAAATGTATGAAAGCAGCACAACAGACAATTTTAACTACAAACAATGGAAAAGCGTTCCACGATGTGTGTAATTGCATGCCAGCATGTACTTTTATCAAGTACAATGCATATGTTGGTCGCAGTTAAATGAAAGCGTCACTTTTGTATAAAGTCGAAAACAAAAGGTTTTTTATGTCTTTTGTAATACTTCATCAAATATAATGTTCGTCTTCATATGTTTTAGGAAGCGTCTTTCATATATTGTGATTCGATTCAGGAGTACACAATTGAAGACTAACAAAAGGATTGAATTATACTCCATTACTGAATTCCTAGCAATATGTGGCAGTTTGCTTGGAGTACTCATGGGCATTTCAGCATTGAGCTTCATCGAACTCATTTACTTCGCCACTTTGCATTTATACTGGAAACTTCGCTATTTAAAGGCTAGAAATGCTGAGGCGACAACTGTTCGAGATAATAATCATATTATGCGCCGACAAGTGACTAATGCCTGGATATAATAGACGGAAGTTAAAGACGTGAGCTCTTTTTCTCTCTCTCTCTCTCTCTATGTAACAAAAAAAGTATGGACCATTTTTTATCGTGAAAAATTCAGCTTTTGCGCTTAATCTTTCTGGAAAGAACTTAAAGAAAATATTGCATAAAATAGTGTGTCATTCCTTTAATCCGATGCGATAGACGTCATTTTTAAATCAGTTCAGATTTATTGCGCATCAAATATGATGTGAGATTTGTCTTTTAATTAAATTTAATTAAAGCAAATATGAAATGGAACACACGGACATTGCAGTTGTGCATCGTTTGGCTTCATATAATAATTGCCAATTAATCGATGTTTTGTTGACATGGCTGGCCAGAAATATATATGAAATGGTTGACTACATAAATTCTTGTTATTCAACAATTTTACCAATTAAATTTCACATGACATTGGATTTACAGTTACAGTTGAACTTGAAAACATATAAAAAGGATAAAGGTGGTCTTTATGCAACTATAATCCAATTATGCTTATAAATATGAATTTTCATAGTTTTGTTTTCATTTTGTGTTGCAAATCTGTTGCTATAAAAGAGCACTGCAATGTGAAAATCGCGTCATTTTCATTCGTGGAATAGACAATAACAGTCTTCTTTAAACGTAGCTATCACCAAATCATTCAAATCTCCGTGTCTTGTTCGTTAGATTGTTCTCTCTAGATATCAGTGCTATTATTTTGGTACGCATTTTCTTTTTTTCCCTTTGCATTGAAAAAAGTATACTACAAAATACGATTGAGTGGCAATTCGTAAGGTTGAGTCATTTTATTTAAACCATCACTTTCAATTCGGGAGGTAATTTTTATGATTTAGAATTATATTATTTAAGAATAAGGTAGATGAAAAAAGGAAAGAGAATTTTGAAAGAAAAGTGTCCCAGATTGGAATTACACAAAACGGATGCGAAATTCTGCACTATTTCATTTTGAGAAGATATCGTTGCATTAAAATATATACATAATTACATAATAAATGTTGGCTTTATCATTAGTTAGTTGGAATGAAAATGTCCGCAAATATTTTAACTTGGACAATGATTCTATTGGCATACACTGCCCTGGCTTATCCATTGTCACTTCCAGAAAACATTAAAGACATGGAACAACAGGAGTTTGCTAAGAATATGGTAAGCAATTCCATTGAAATCCAAGTTTTGATTCAAGATTTTTTCTTCTTCTCCTTTTGCATATTTTCTTTCTGTCTCTCAATCGATTAATTTTGCATAATCAAAAATTATCTCTTTTATATGCCAGGATTTACAAGAAGAAAAGTACCCACCATTGCCATATGCTTTGGAACAAGAGTCACAATTGATTCCTCGACAATTTATGATCAACGTAAAACCCAACAATGGTATTAACGAAATGAATAACATTTTCCAGGAACAATTGGACGTGGACAAAAAATATGCTTCACCTTTCATCTTTTTAAAGCGATACCGTGAGTGAAATACAGGGAAAAATCACTTTGAAAATAATAATTGAAAATAGAATTTGAAGAAATTACTCCAACAAATTTCAAATTTTTCTCAAATGTTTTCTATCCTGATTTTTCCCCATGGTGAAAAATGGACAATGTATTTTTTACTAATCGCATTTTTCATCTCGTTTCGTTTAACATTTAGCTATGACTACTTGTCACTTCAAAATCTGTAATATGGGAAAATAAGTTTGTACGCAAATTTTTGATTGATTCTCTTTAAAATTAACTTTTTCTATCGATAATAAACAAAATCGACTGAAATGGATTTTCAGATAAAAGATTCAACATTTATTGTAACTATGTTTTAAACATTTTAGAACTTTATTCACTCAAAACAGTACTAGTAGTAACAATTAACTTTTCAAGCCATTACATGTACCAGCTGAAGTGTGCCTTACTGAAAGAATTTGTTAATTTTATTTTTTACATTCTTCAACATTCTTCAACACACAAAAAAATATGCGGTTAAATTTAAACTCAATGCGGTCATATTTTAATCACTTTTATAATTTTGTGTTCTGGAATTGAGACCGCAGTCATAGAAAAATTGACCGCACACGCATAAACGTCAAAATCAAACAATCAATTCATCGTGTACGAGTGTCAATTCATAATTATAAAACATTTATGTCAAAAACATCAAATGTTTTTTTGTTTTACGAATAATATTTGTTCTTCTTTATTCTTGAAATCAAAAAATATTTGTTAAACAAAAAATAAAATAACATTTTTAAAAGAAGATTGCGGTTAATTCCAAAACGCAAAATTATAAAAATGATAAAAATATGACCGCATTGAGTTTAAATTTGTCCGCACACTACTGAATAACCGCATTTTCATTTGATTTGACCGCATATTTTTTTTGGTGTACACACTTTAGTTATTAATTTCAACATTTGTTACTATTTTTACTTATTTTTATTCCGTCCAGAAAATAATGATATCCGGTTGAAACAGAAA